GATTGCCCAGCCGTTAAATTAAATTATTCGTTCACCTGGGTTATTCAAGATTCATCCGAGGGCGTTTTGACAGCAAAGAAGAACTGGGCTTCTTTTGGAAGGAGAAGCAAATTAAGCCATTAAAGGAGCTGCTTAAAATTTTAAATTATGTAAGAAAAACCCCAAAATGAAAAAGAGGGGAGGAATTCACGAATCTGTTTTTTTTTTTTACTGAAATCACATATTTTAGCAAAATTGATTATTTCATTCAGTTTACCAGGATTCTCGTTTATTTAAATTTTCGTGCAAAAACCGCTGCTTTAGTAGTGAGCTTGCGTTTATGCTGTTAGAGTGCGAGTCTACACCTTTGCCAATCCAAACTGGTGGTAGTGTAAACCAAAACGGAGTGTCCCTTATTTAGAAATTTATTTTTTTAAAAAATTAGAAATCCCCAAAATTAATCCAGACCAATACGGATTTAGTGTAAAGCAAAATGATGAAGTATTTCTTGGTCGATGGTCGCCTCGATAAGAGTATCTTGTCTTCTACAGTACTGCACATGCACCACGTACATTACATTAGTGCATTGGCTATAGCCACGAGCGCCCCGCACCGGACGTTGTTATAAGTGTACGAACTCTTCTTAACGCTGACCGTCCAGGCAAGCAGCCCCAACACGAGCGCTTGATGGCACGTCAATCGCTGAAGCGCCGTTTTTGAGACGCAAACTCAGAGCTGCAACCCCTCTCCTTCCATTCCCCACGGCCGGTTAACATCTGCAAGCGCAGCCCAAAGCTCTGATCCTTGATGTACTCTGTCTACTGAAGTCGGGTTGCTGGCCGTCTTGGTCCCTCTTTCGATGATTATGCAGGCTGTACAAGCTGAGAGGTCACTGTGTGCACCCACACTCTCGTGTTCTGGCGCCCATACGCAGGTTCACGCCCCCTTACATCTTTGTGTGTACCTCAGTCCGCAGCGAGCCCGTAGTTCGTATTGCTGGATGTGTCACTCGCGTTCTTGCCAGTTTGCACTACACTAAATCTACATTGCTCTAAAACCTAATTTTGTAAAATTATTCCTCAAATTTAGATGTTACTTCGGTTACTTCACTCCGTTTTGGTTTACACTACCACCAGTTTGGATTGGCAAAGGTGTAGAGGTGCTACCGCACTTTAAAATGATAGACACCGAAGTATGTTCATTTATATGGCTATTAATGTTTTTGTGATATGGTTGGATGTGACAATGCATCCGATCTAACTTGAATTTTGTATGGAATAAAATAGCCAATTGTGGTGTAGTAGAACACACAAATACCGTCAGATGTGGATTCCTTACACAAACCACAACAAATCGCCGAGTTAGGTCGGCGGTTGTATGGCCTGCGCAGAGGGTGGTCCCCTCGCGGTTCGGCCCTTCCGGGACAGACGAGTGGCTCGCTTCCACTCGGTTCCAACTAACCAAGCCAGATCACTTCCGAGGCTCCGCCGAGTTTGGTTCGGCTGAGCTCGTTCACAACCCTGTGCCCTCCACCAAAGGATGGACGACGGCGCGCGAGCGCTTTTACAGGTCACCGAGCGCAGAGGCTGCTCGGCTAGAAGTGTTACGGCACCCGGGCTATCCGACGTACCGGCCCGCTGAGTATGCGGGGCTTTCTTTCGCGCGTAGCGAGACTTTGTCCTACCCGGACCGACCTAATCTCTTGGCGCTACCAGTCAATACCCTACAAGCTATGCCTCTCGAGTACTGACGGCAGGCATAATCCAGCCCTATGCAGGGACTAACCGGAAAAGTGTACACGTGTCTTGGACTAGGAAAATCTGCTCTCTTATCTTCTGGGAGCCTTTTCGGCTCTTCCTATTTAATCCTATGCTTCTTATACAAATATCTAGTGAAATGAAGTCGTTTCGGATCTCTACCGACCCTTTTTTTTTTTAGCTCTGCGGCTATCCGGATAGCATATCCGGACAGATCGCCGAGTACTTACCGTGATCCTTTGTACCTAAGCTCTGGGTTATCAGACCGAGCCGATTCTTGACCTAAAGTAGGTTGGCGTATGGGTCGAGTCTGGAAATCCCTACACCACACTCTGTTGCCACGTCCGGAGCCGCCTTCGACGCACTCCCAGACGTACGCGTATGGTGCGTACCCGGCGTACTCAGCGTACTCGGCGTATGGCTCCGGGGTCCGTTCGTACGGAGCCCCTCCTGCGTACGGTCTTGACCGCAGTTTTGCCGTCCAGACCGAGGCTTGGGCGCCTGCTCCGACGCCCTCGTCGACGTCTGTGACCGGCCCTCGCTTTGAGGAGCTGGGCCAAGGTGGGTCTGCGAGTCAGCAACCCCCTGCGGATCAAAGTACCGCTTAAGACGTCCAGCATAGAGCGTCGGGTGCGTCGTCATTGACTTTGGCAGGTCGATGGTGTACGACGCACCATGTCTGGCCAGGACTGCAAATGGTCCGATGAAGCGGTGCTTCAGCTTGTTGCTGCCGACAGAGCTGACAGTGTCAAGAGGTAGGTTCCTCGTGTCTAGTAACACTAAGCCCCCCACTTTAAATACACTTAAGTTTCCTCTTCCATGTTTGTCGGAGTACTCCTTTTGTTTATCCTGGGCCGCTGCCATGGCATCGCGGACCCTGCTGACAACGCTCGGCTTGGTATCCATAAAGGATTCCACTTGTTTTCGCAGCGAAACTGGTCTCACATCCGAGACCTGGGAGGAACGTCGGAGCGTCAGGTTGGTCGAAGCCAACGCTGATGTGGACGACGCGGAAGTGTTGTTCTAACTGGTCCCCTGACCGGTTGGAACGAGTGAAGCTGGACCACTTCACTCTTGTTGGTGTT